CAAAGAGAGAACAAATGGTTGACTCCGACTCAGACATTTTGAATGCAATTGAAGGAATTGCAAGTGTCAAGTTCGAATGGTACCAACCTAACCCTCAAGCAGTCAGACAACATGCTGGATACTTCCCGTTCAGAAATAAGTCTGACATTGACTTGACAAGGTATGGAATTTACAATTCAATTGAAACAATTGTCAATGAACCTTGTATTCTTACATGTCTCAGGAACTCTGGTCTTGTTACAGATGAGAAAATGAAGTATCTTGAGTCATGTGTGAAGACAAGGTACATTCTCAGAGGTCAATTGGCAAAAATTGCACCGTTGGCAAATGTCAATATCCGAGTTAATATTCCGACTGAGAAAGGTTCTTCACATGACGACTATGTTGTTGACAAAGACTTACCATGGTTGAAGATTGTACTTGTCCACAACCACTTCATGTTGAACGAAAGTCTTACAAACCCATTGTTCGGAAAAGGTAAGTGCAACATTGTCAGAGCTGTTAACATTCTTTTCGAGAAAGGCTTGTTGGAACCAATTCCAGATGACAAGCTGACAGAAACTTTTGTACCAAAAGACGAAACAAACTTTTCATTGTTGGTAAGACCAAAAGTTGTTCCAGACAAGGTTATAGCACAAAAGAAGTACACAGTTCCAAAAGGAGTTGGATTGTTCGGATACCAACCTGAACCAGAAGAACTTCCAATGAGGTTGCAAGAACTTCAAGATGCTATAAACAAACTTCCATTGAGGCATCCAATTGACGTCAAATTGTATTGGAGAGCATCAGAGTTAGGTCAGAAGGTTTTATATGAAACAGGTTGCTTTGACGATGTTTATGAGATAACAGGAGAAGTTTCTCAAAAGATAAGAGACTCGCTTGAATTTCCAAAAACTGGACCCATTGGTTGCGACAAGTTCGACTCAGATGAAAAAATATACTATGTCGACCTTAACGCTGCGTACATGAGGTTTGTCCAATATATTCCAACTGGAATTCCAAACGAAGACGGTGAGTTCCCGGGAAGGAACTATACAGTTGGAAAAGTCATACAACAACTGTATGATATTAGGAAAGCTTCAAACCCCAAACTTGCAATGACACTCAAATTGCTTATGAATTCGACATGGGGATATTCCATTAAGAAACCTCAAAAGATGAAGAGTAAACACTATGAGAAGGTCGACAACTTTGTTGAAAGGTTTTCTCCTTTTGTTTTGAAGTACGAATTTACTCAAGGTCAAAATGGCTTAGTAACCACATTAAAACCTATTGTCGAACATTGGTCTTACCCTCAGTTCGCAAAGGCAGTCCTTGACAACTACAACAAATTCTTCTCCGAAGTCAAATCCAAAGTGAAGGTTTACTATGAGAACATCGACGCACTCATGACGAACGAAGAAGGCTATAACAAACTCATTGAAATGGGAATGGTCGGTGAAAAGATGGGCTGTTTTAAGCTAGATAAGGTATTTTCCGAAGTTCATGTCCTCTCCAAACGTAAGTACTGGGGCATACTTGAAGACGGCACAGAAATAAAACATTGCATGAAATAAAACATTGCATGAAATAAAACATTGCATGAAGTAAAAACGTTTTTTAAACCATATATTTTTACATATATTAAATGCTTCAGGTTGAAAAACAAAGAACAAAAGTAGCAGATACAAAACCGTTAGACTATATCTTTACAAATGCTGGTAGAAATATTTCAGATGAAGAAATTTCATCCCGAGCTTACAGGTTTGACTATCCAGTTCGTTGGCTTCAAAGTCCTTCAGATGCAAAGGCAATAGGATTTAGAAGAGTTTTGTTTTCAAATAGAACTAACGCGTTTATGTTCGCAGTATATTTTCATGGCCAGTATAAAGGTTCTGATGGTCTAATAGAAAAATTTGACGAAATGAGGATCTTTACGGTTCGTTCAGACGAAAGTCTTGAGAAAACTCTAAATGACTTTCAAACTCAAATAAACAAATATTATTGGGAATTTCAAGAAAAATACGACTCTTTACTAAATGGAACATACTATCTGAAACTAGAATATGACAAGATGAACTCCACCGTTTCATTTCAAAAGATTGAAATTAACCCTCCAAGAGATACAGAGTTTTTATTTTGGAAAGTAGACAAACGTTCTTGGGCACAATTTCTTCGGTTACTAAACCAGAACGAACCATTACTACCAGATGGTCCATTTCAATTTATACCTCCACCAGCAGATTTGACAGTTTATAGAAACGTGTTTGACCCTCAAAATGTTATGTGTCATGCAAGTTTCAGTTCAAGCAACAATGGTTTTCTATGTATCGGTAAGGACTTTTATGACTTTGCTTCTAAATTCTACGAACCACCTAGTAACAGTTTCTCTGACTTTCAAGTTTGGTTCACAACAAATGGTGTGCAGCATATTATTCCATTGTACTATGACTTTTATCTCGAATTGTCTTTCATATACAACTACGGAAAAGTGCTGAAAAAGTATTGAAAAATATATTTTAGGTGGAGCCAGGTCCCTCGGTCCCTCGGTCCCTCGGTTAAACGAACTTCTCTGAAAAAGTGTGACAACATGACATTTTGACAACAGTCCAGGAAATAAACTTCTTCGTAAATGTTTTGTCACCCGTTGAATTTTGTATAAAAAGCAACCCGCTGTTTTCGGCGGGTTGGTATATTCTTCACAAAATGCTTGTTTTGAGGTCGAGCCACTTTTGGTTCACCGTATTTTTCAACCAAAACTCATGAATTTTCCCGAAATAAAAAATAAAGTTAGTTTTTTTAAAAAAATATTTTTTATTTTTATTGTAAGAACATGTTAGCAACAACAGCACCAAACTCTTTAGTCATGAACCCAACATCAATGTTAGTAGAGATGAAAAGCTTCATTCCTTCTTCATATACTTTCGAAACAGAAATCCAGAAGATAAAGCAGGAACTTCTCCAAGGAGATTTAGACTGTAGTGCAAAAGATGAAACAAATGAACAGTATCTTTATGAAATGCAGGACCTGGTGGAACATCTACCTAAACTTCCTGAAATCCAACAACAAAAACTCACTATTCCTGAATTCGATGAAATAGAAGTGAAACCAACTGACTCAGTTGAAATAAAGAAGTTCATACGTAATGTAAACTATGAGTTTCTTGGATTTCATTGCAACCACAAAGACTGCGATATGGTATATTTCATTGACATATATAAATCGGAGGAGTTTAAGACCTACGACAACTTTGTTTCGTTAGTTGCTGAATGTGTATGGCAGATAAGAGATAAAGATAGAAGAGGTAAAGTATGGAACGGACAAATAAAACCAGCAGCCTTTGAGTTAAAGAAAACCATTTACGCCTTAGTCATACTTGCAGGTAAGGTTTCAATGTACAATGCTAAAATGAACCCACAATGTTCAAAATGTAAAGCAGCAACAAGGAAATATAACTACTCCGTCAAAGAGATAGAACGTATGAGAAACGACTATGCTGACTTAAAGAAAGAAGCAGAGAAACCAGCAGAAGATAAAATGGACATGTTGACATTTCTGAACAAAAACTATCCAACTGCTGACGATTTCCTTCTTTCAGATGTCAAGAAGAAATATAAAGAAACTTTCGGCATTGTGAAAACTTTTGACATACTGACAGAAGAAATAGAAGCTACAAAACTGTTTAAAGTCATGAACCATCACAACATATACCATGTAAAACGCTTGTGAAACTTTATGGTAGAAATATATTTTTGCTGAGTAAAATGACCAAATTTCATTATATAACTGTATTTTTTTGACGAAGAGAACTTTTACACTTCGTAAAAAAAATCCCTGAAGTCTTGACAAAACATTGACGATGAAGTTTATTTCCTGTGTTGTTGTCAAAATGTCATGTTGTCACCATTTTCAAAAAGATGTTAGTTGACCGAGGGACCGAGGGACCGAGGGACCTGGTGACACCTAAAATATATTTTTGTCTGAGTAAAATGACCAAATTTCATTATATAACTGTTATTTTTTGACGAAGAGAACTTTGACACTTCGTAAAAAAAATCCCTGAAATCGTGAAAAAATGACCAAATTTCATGATATAACTGTTATTTTTTGACGAAGAGAACTTTGACACTTCGTAAAAAAAATCCCTGAAATCGTGAAAAAATGACCAAATTTCATTATATAACTGTTATTTTTTTACGAAGAGAACTTTGACACTTCGTCAAAAAAATCCCTGAAATCATATCTTTTATACAAAATAAAAAAAATAGCGTTAGTTTTTTTAAAAAAATATTTTTTATTTTGTATGTAAAGACAGACAATGACAAACACTGAGTTTGAAACAGTTAAAAAGATAGACAATGAGACCAAAGTGGTTAGAATTGGTGATTTAAACGTAAGATACTCAAAGAAATACAAGAAATATTCTTTGTCAGACATTTTAACACTATCTGAAAAGAAAACATCCCACGACTGGGTTAAAAATGCTTCAACTCAGAAAATTTTGACAAGAAATCCTGAGCTTATGATATCAGTAAGATTCTATGGAACAAGAGCATATCTTATAGACAAAAGTCTTATACCAGTAGTTTTGTTCTGGATTGACCCAGTTGTTGGATATAATTTCATAACATATGGTTCATTCGATACTGAACGTTGCAGTGAAGGCTTACTTTACATCGTTCAGAAACCGAAGGACTTCAATACAAAGAGATATAAGATAGGAAGAACATTTAATATAACTCAAAGATATGACAGTATAGTCAATAGAGTCAAGGTTGTGTTCGTTAACGATATGAGAGCTGCTGAAACAGAACTACTTGAAAAGTTTGAGAAAATGTATGGTGCTCCCATAAAAGGTAAAGAAACGTTTGAAGTAGATGAGATAGATAGTGCTATAAAATTATTTGACGAAGTTGCTGAAAAATACATGTAAAGCGTTTATTTTTGGTCTTTTGTGAAAGTAAGAAAATAACGCTAGTTTTTTATAAAATATTTTTTTATTTTGTATGTAAAGACAGAAATGACAACAACAGAGAACACAACAACTGCTATCGTTCATGAAGCCATAAATGAAGAATACGAGTACATACAATATAACAAACAACTCCGTCTCATTCGTTCGGTCAAGGATGACATGTACCAAATGCAAAGTATTTTGACAGCATGTTTTGCTCCAGATACCAAGAAACCACAAGACTGGTTTGAATTAAATAGCACACAAGAACTTTTGAGTGAGTTCGAACATGTAGAACTTAAAAAGATGTACCAAGACAGACAAAACTTACCATCGTATCTAAAAGGTATATATGTTCATAAGTTCCTAGTTAGTTCAATAGCAATGTGGGCTTCACCTCGTTATGCATGGTATATTTACAGACTTCTTGACGAAGTTGCTGAAAAATACATGTAAAGCGTTTATTTTTGGTCTTTTGTGAAAATAAGAAAATAACGCTAATTTTTTATAAAATATTTTTTTTATTTTGTATGTAAAGACAGATATGACAACAACAGAGAACACAACACCTGCTATCGTTCATGAAGCCATAAATGAAGAATACGAGTACATACAATATAACAAACAGTTACGTCTCATTCGTTCGGTCAAAGATGACATGTACCAAATGCAAAGAATTTTGAATGCTCTTCGTTCTACAAAGCAAGCACGTCATTGGTTTGAAAACCAACAGACAAAAGAACTTTTAGAAGAATTTCCTCATATGTTTGCGACCGGTAGAAAACCGCGGGTCGAGATTCCGTACGAAAATCGTCAAAATTTGCCAAATGGTTTGAGAGGTTGGTATGTACATAGACTTCTTGTAAATGCTGTTGCAATGTGGGCTTCACCTCGTTACGCTTGTTATATTTTCATGATGTTAGATGAAATTCATAGACAAGAACGTGAAGAGCTAGAGAACAAGCTTGAAGCAAAAGACAAAAACATACAGAAAAGAATACCACGTTCGGTACCAAAAGGAAAGGAAAAGAACTATAAGTATATGATTTATACTGAAGAGATGGAAAATGAAGAAGACAGAGATATGGTTATGTTGCATTTAGTCAGAAGAAACAACAAAAGCTTTTACGACCTTGCTAAGATTTACAAATCTAACAGAAATTGGTTCTATCGCGAAAACTTACCGATTTCAATGACACCAAATGAAGATGTGAAACAAATAGTTCAAGATACTTTACCTCAAACACACTATGATATTAAAGGTTGTACAATACTTACATTCAAAGAAGATTTGCCGCTACTGAAAGAAAAAATAACAGAGTATTTTGACAACTTCAAAGAGGAAGAGTAAATGAACCATTTATTTTTCAAGCTTGACACCAAAGATGGCTCAGGTAGCTCTAGATGGTAAATTGGCTTGTCAAATCCTTCTGGCATTCCGAGTCCTTCCTTCTGGCATTCCGAGTCCTTCCTTCCGACAGGAAAAGTTTTTCTTTCCGACAGGAAAAGTTTTTCTTTCCGACAGGAAAAGTCCTTCCTTCCGACAGGAAAAAATTTTCCTTCCAACAGGAAAAAATTTTCCTTCCAACAGGAAAAATTTTTCCAGTTGTCCGTCCGTAAACCATTCAAATTTTCGAAAATTGAGAACTTTTTGGCCGACCTTCAGGAAAAATTTTTCCTTCCAACAGGAAAAAATTTTCCTTCCAACAGGAAAAAATTTTCCTTCCGACAGGAAAAGTTTTTCTTTCCGACAGGAAAAGTTTTTCTTTCCGACAGGAAAAGTTTTTCTTTCCGACAGGAAAAGTCCTTCCTTCCGACAGGAAAAGTCCTTCCTTCCGACAGGACACAAACGAATGAGTGACGTACCACCAACCGAGTCCATTCCAAAGCCAGAAGAACCGAAAGCTGCAGCACCACAACAGACTAAGACTCAAACACTTACATTTTTACGCTTGACTTTTTACAATTTGAACTTTGTTTGCGTAGATGTGAATTCTGAAAGAAGTATGAGGGTCTTGTATGACTTTGTACTTCTCCCATAGTTCATATCTGTCAAACTTACCTGCCATGGACTCTTTCATAAGTTCCATGAAATCGTCTTCGGACAATCCGGGGAAAAGTACAATATCAGTAAGTATTCTCTTTACATCCTTACTTAAACTCTTTGCTGTCTGTACACAAATGACAACAGAGATGTTAAAGTGTCTGAGCTTCTTAAGAATTCGACACATGTCTTGTTCTCTGTTCTTTAACAAAGGATGAGAAGCAAAGTCATCTAAGATAAGAAGACATCTATGAGGGTAAGTCTTCCAATCGTAAGATTGCAATTTCTTCGAAATGTATTCTATCTCTTTCTGTTTGTTTCTGAAGTGTTTCTTCTCTAATATTCTCTGCATTTCCTCATTTGGGTCTTTAAACTTAGAATTGACATACTCATTTATAGCATTGTACTTCAAAACTCTTCTTTGGTACTTCTTTATCCAATCTAACAACTCAGTATCTTTTATACATACTAACTTAGACTTTTTTATAATATCTTTGAACGAATTGACTGTTTGGTCAAATTGACCCGAAGTACTACAAATGACAACTAACTCATAGAATGGGTTCTTCTCATCTAGTTCTTGTTGTTGTGCAGCCATTTTAAGATAAGTGAAAGTCTTACCAGACCCAGGCGGTGCAATTAGACCTGTTATACCATTCTGAGCAAATAGGAACTTGTCATGTATGGGTTTTATCTGAGCATTTTCCAACTTCCTCTTGTTCTTGTTTAAAACATTCTCAAATTTCTTGTCAATGTCAGCAAACTTTTTTTCTAACATATTTTTAGAAAAATTAAAATTTTTATCTTTTAGGAAATGTCTAGCGATTTCGCTATCTATATTCGAGACAAGCTTTTCGACAGCAAAACATCTGTCGACCATAAAATCTTACATAGTGTAAACAAGAAAGGGGAATTTGTTCTAAAGTTCTGTTTCTGGGAATATGACAAGAACCATAAAACCTTAAGCAGAGAAGTCTTAAAATTTGTCAATGACAGACTTGTTGACAGAGATGACGCCTCTTGGAGAGATGAAGTCCAACAAAACTTCTTAGAATGCAAAGAAGACACATGCGCTGTTCTTGAAAATGAAATAGAAAACAGAATAGAAGAGCTATTAAATGACAAAGCACTTTTACAAAAATATGGTTCTGAGAAGTTTGACATAACTCCACCAGAGAAGAAGAAGAGAGAAAAGAAAGAAAAGAAAGTAGAAGAAGAGAAGAAAGAACCAGTTCCAGAGAAAAAGAAATTTGACATGTAAAAATAAAATTTTATTTTTAGAACATTTCTGGGTCAATGTCAATGTTCTCTTCCTCTTTAGGAGCAAACACCGGCTTAGACTCTAAAATCTTTTTACCCAATTTACCTTGAACTTCAACTATCTTAGACTCATAATATTCATAGTCGTCTGCTTTCTTTGGTTCATAAGGTATAACAAGTTTGTATGCTTTGCCTTCTTTAAGGTTTGAGAACCTTCTGTCAAAACTTTCTTTGACTGTTAACAAACCTTCTATGTCTAAGTCTTCAAATTTCGCACCATTTTTAGTCACAATAGCAAACTTAACTGGTTCGATGTTCCAAACTTTGTCAAATGTAGACTTTTCAAAATGGTAGAAGTAAACATTCAAATATGTGAATGGGTCTAGTTCTTCTTTAAGTCCTGACATGTACTTGTTGACTGAGATGAATTTCGTCATCTTTTCTATCGGATAAAAAAAATATTTTTTTTAAAATTTACTCAGAAAAAATTTTTCTTTGTATATACACCATTCTGTACGTCTAAAAGACTTTTGACATTTGCCAAGAATGTTCGTTTAGACGCTGTCATATAACCATATTCTTGACAATACTGTTTATACGAATCGTACAATGACCTTTCATCTAAACACTCAAAGTCAGTTTCATCTATGAACAGTTCATATACACTCTTGTTTGCTTCTAACAATGTTTGTCTCTCTTCGGTATGTGGAATTTGTCTTGGATTGAACTTAGAAATATCTAATGTCATGAAATATGAGAACAAGTGGTTGTAAAAGTCAGATGTCAAAGTTTCTGCTAAGTCGTCAAAATATTCTGTATCTTGCATATGAGCTTCTGACGTTCTGACAACTACATATCTTCTGTCAGAACTTTCTAACTTCATCGGAACAGCATTGTTTGAAACCATGACGAAGTTTGCAACATTTTCACAAACTCTTTGGTCTCTATACTTTCTTTCAACAACTCCAACTTTGTCTGTTATAAGACTCTTCAAAGCATCTGAGTTCAAAACTTTTGTTGTATCTATACTTTGAAGTTCGTTACATACTATAAGTTTCATATTCTCTATTGAAGAGTTAAATTTACCGCAGATGTTTTCTAAGTTTGTCATATTCGGGTTCGAATAGCCCTCTAACAGTTTGCATAAGATATCTGTAAAGAAAGTGTTCTTACCTGTTCCCTGTTTTCCAATTATGATGAGAGCAGTTTCATTTTTAGCACTTGGATGTTGTAAGATGTTTGCAAACCAACATAAGATATACTCATAGACTCTTTCGTTTCCATTGCATATAATTTCTTTGACATGGTCTAACCAAGCTTCTATAACATTTTCTTTCCATTCTACTTGTTCGTATTTATATCCAGTGAAGATAGAATAGAAGTTTGGAGAAGGTGTATAGAACTTTATACCACGAACTGAAAAATCTTCAAGTTTTGACAATAAGATATCCCAAGCATCTAACATCTTCATACCAACTTGTACAACTTTTATTTTCTTAAGTTTCTGTTTACATTCTTGTTCTGAAACTATTGTCGCTTTAGGTTTGTTAAAGACTACATCCCATTCTTTCATGACATAACATTCTGGGGCAGAGTCGACATAAATGACTAAGCGTTTCAAATTCTCGACTGCTTTGTTATAGTCTCTAAATGGACACATATTTCTGAAGGCTTGGAAGTCATAAAAATCTGAAACGTCTATTCTGTACATTTTTTTATATAAAAATAAAAAAAAATATTTTTTTTATTCTTGAGCTATTTGTTGTTCTTGACTTTGTTGTTGCATTTGTTCCATTTGTTGCATTTGTTGTTCTTGAGCTATTTGTTGTTGAAGTTGTTCTTGTAGTACAATACTTTCACCAGTTGCATCTTCCAATTCGAAACTTTCTGCCGTCATTGACAAATACATAGGACATAAAAGTTTTACAGGAACAAAGTTTGCGTCAACTAAGGTTAAGTTTATGTTTGCTAAAGTGTTTGAGTTTACTAAAGCTGAAAACTCTGCATTCGAATGAACAATAGGCAAACCAGCAGAGAAAGTGTTGTTTATACGCATGAGTATCTTTTGGTCATAGTAGTTTCTGTCGACATTCGAATAGCACTTTGAACCTAAGTTTGAAACAATATATAAAATAGGTGTGCTTAAAGTCAATGGAACAGACATTCCTTGTATGACACCTTTTCCTGTTATAGGAAACTGTTGGTAGTAAAAACCAGATATAAGTTTTGTTTTATAGCTCATATCGTTTATACTAAACTCAGTCGGACATCCAAACATAATGAAACCTGCTCTAGTTGCAGCACATGTTACATCCGTCCTTAAAGTATTAAATAAGTCAACAAAACCTGTTGGTGGTATATCTGAGTAAGTATCTTCAAAGGAGTATTTTTTACCATTCACAACAATAAAATCTTCTGGTGTCAAAAGAGCAAAACAGGCTTTAGTCGTCATTGTGTTTAAGGTTAGTTTACAATATCGTCCTTGAGGACTTTGTAAGTTTGTTGTTATAGAATTATATGACTCAGGGTTTTTAGTCGTAATAGTATAAACCACTATGTCTTCTGCCATTTACATATATTTAAAAGTTTTTCTGAAAGTGGAGAAGAACTTCATCTAAACTTTCACATGGCGTTTCTTGAAGTTCTCTGTCTAAGAAGTTCAAATATTTTGTAAAGACATAGAACTTTCCTTTGTCTACACGAACAAACAAAACAGGGTCTTTCATATCGTTCAAAAGTGTGTAAAGTCCTTTACATGAAATAAAGTCTATATTGTTTTTCTTCAAACATCTTTCAAGAAGTTTTGACATTTTTACTTAGCAAACAAACTTTAATGAAATGTTGTGGTCGTCAAATATTTTTATGACGTCTGGGAAACTATATTTTAAGTTCAACGTTTCACCTCCTTTCATAACGTATATCTTGTCAATGACATTATATGAAACACCACAGCAAGCAATGTCGGGTTCTATTTCTTTGATGTTTATATCGTCTGCCTCTGTCAAAAGTTTCAATAATTCTTTCAAAATTTCATGAGGTGCGATGACATATGAGTTCACTTTTACAGGGTTGTGCTCAACCAAGTTTAACATTATACCCAAAGCTTGACAAATCTTCTCCTGAGTTTTAAGTTTGTCTTTAAGTTGTTGGTAGTCATTTCGAATATCTGCAACAGAACTTAAGTCTCTGCTAACTTCAGGATATGTTGGTTGTTCTTTTACAGGAACTATTGTTATACCATCTTCGTCTTCGTATGGTTTCCCCACTTCAACATCTCTTTCTTTGACATTGACAACAACACTTTGACTGTTTGTTTGAGTTGGTGAATTTAACTTCACATCTGCCACCGCCATTAAACCTTTTGAAACACTTACGCTTCTATTTTTCGGAAATGACATTTTACTTAGAATAAAAAGATGGACGTATTTGAGTATCTCTTCGAATTGAAGCAAAACAAAGTTTACACACACAAACAATACAAATACACTGATAGAATAGTTCTTTATACAAACAATGGAAAATGTTATAGAATAGCAGTCTTTGCTGAACCAAAATATTTTCATAAAGCAAAGAAAGTTGGTATAACTGAAATGGTGAAAGTTCTTGACGTTGACAAAAATATAACAACAAAACTGACCGATATTTCTAAAGGTAAGTTTATAATACAATACTATGTCAAAACTGGCGTACTGTCAATATTTGACGGAGAGAAGTCAGTTCAAGAACAACTTACTGACCTGCTGCCAAAATCTGCTCGATGGAAGCTGTCGTTATACCAATCTGAGGAGCCCCAGCAGGTTTCATCGAACGAATCTTCAAAAGAGCATCTTCCGTGAAAAGTGCTATTGGTTTTGTAAACTTCTTTGCTTTCAATTCATCTGGACCGTCTCTGTCACCAGTATATTGTATTTGAACTGTACCAACAGTTGAAATACCACCCATAAAGTCTTCTGAGTCAGCAAATGGAATGCCAAGCCAAAAGTTTGAACGGTCTCCATTTGTATATTGAGTGTTTTGAGCTCCTGTATGGGTCCATACTTTCACATATGGCATAATAGAACTTTGCATTTCAGGGTTAATGGTTGTTGTGAAGTTGTTGTTAAAGTTCATAGCATCTAATGTCAAGTTGTATGACCTCATATCCTCAACTGTAGAATATTCTTCTCTTGGATAGTATTTGCCATCTATGTTTATATGATATTTAATACCGGGGTTGTAGAAACAAGAATAGTCATTTATAGTTCGTCTGAACAGTACAAACATAGTATCTGCATGTTTCATTGCAGTTGTTAAGGCAATATCTGTTCTTGCACCTGGGTCAGCACTTTGGTTTCCAACTTCACCTGCAAAGTCTTTGACAGATATTTGGTGTATAGGGAACATAAGTGGAACTGCAATATATTTGGCAGCTAAAGCATTTGAAATATCTGGGTCCAACATATAGACTGCAAGTCTGCTTTCTATTCTCTTGCATTCAAATTTTTCGCATGTGAACTTAACTGGGTCCCAAGCAGTTCCAGCAGCATTGAAGTAGTAGTTTACTTCAGTGTTGAGGTTTGAGAAACCAAAGTTTAGGTCAACTTTGTCTTTGCAAAAGTCACAGAACTTGGCTCCACCAGTTCCAGCTACAGCAATGCTGAATGGGTCTTGTGTTGGTGCAATGACTAAGTTATTTTTGCTTGGAGTAAGTTCGATAGAAATTTTTCCTGCCCAGTTTGGCAAGTATCTTAAAAACCTGAAGATGAGGAAAGATGACAAAGGAACTCTAAGTTTCAATTTTACTTTGGTTACTGCTGCTGCAGTTTGTCCAGAAAGGTCAACATAAACTCCTGGAACGTTAGGGTCAAGTCTTCTTATTTTCTCAATAGTTGCATACTGGTCTGTTTGTTCTCTAGCTTGTGGTTGTACTGAGTTTCTCAAAGCGAACCATTCATAGTTTGCCCATGTTACTGTTTGAACTAAGTCAGAGTTAGAATATATCTTATATCCCATGAAAACTTCTGGAGCATATTGGTATCCGACATAGAAAATTCCATTGCAACCTTTCTTGTCAGACAACTTGGCAGAAGGTTTTATTTCAATGTCTTGTTCCACGTATAAGAAAGAGTTGTCAATAGAAATTATATGAAACCTGTCGCAAGCAATATCTACTGTTGTTGAAGAACCTTCTCCAAACTCACCTACGTTTCCATAAGAAACAGCAGTTGTATATTCGTAAGTTCCAGGAACTATTTCTGACCTTCTAATGGCATTGTCGCATTCGTTATACCATTCGGAAACATTTCCATTCATGGCATCCAAAACTGTTGGCGTTATATTCTGAGCGGCGTACATTTCATATGGGTAAAAATATAGAATAGTTGGATTTATATGTCATAATAGAACCCACTCCGACCAAGCTTTACTTTCTTCCTGACTGAGTTTTTAACTCTTCTTTTTCCTTCATTGCCACTACTTTCACTAGATGAAGTTACTTCTTCACTACTTTCACTTTGTTCTACTCTTCTTCTTTGGTGTCGCTTTGGTAACTTGCCCTCTGCTTGAAGTTGTTGCATCTTTGCATTATGTTCATCTAGTATGTTGCAAATTTTCCATGTCCTTTTTGCCTTTGGGCTCTGGTCGCCCATCTCAGGTAACCTATATCCTAGAAAGAGTTTGTCATAGTTTGTATTTGAGTCGTCGCTTATTGTTTGCATGACTCTTTCCTGAGTTTCCGGTTCAAGCTCTTCAAACAGAGCTTGTCCATATGGAATATGCTCGTTTCCAAATATATGTTTTTGTAGCCATTCTGGTTTTCTTTCCATGTTACCAATAATATCTTTTGTGAATGGGAAAGCTTTTACCCAATGTTTCAGTCTTGCGTCATTTATTTCTGTAGTTGGTTTTATTTTGTCAAGGAACATGTTTTTCAATACTAACATTTCATTTGGTACTGTCCATTTGAGTTTACTTAAATATTCATCCCTTCTCGGTTCATTGTCTGCAAAGTAAGTTTTTATGACATTTTGTAAACTTTCGTTTGCAAGGTCATGTACAATAGGTTCTCTTCCTTCTCTGTCCATAACTTTCTTTCTAAACTCTTCGCCAAATATACCATCTCTATGGTTCTGTGTAGTTCTTTGAGATAAATGTTCTAGAACGTCAGGTGTTATATTTCCATCAGCCATGTTCATTTCATACTGGTTCAAAATATCTGCATGTTTCATATCTTTCAATGGCATTAAAGCCGCGCTTAAAATACCAGCTATATCTCGTTCACCATTCAATTCCATTGCGTCTACAACTTCTTGGAATTGTGGTTGTAAGTTTATGAACCACCTATCCGGGTTAGCTTTATGACCCCATCTCATTGTAGTTCCATAGTCTGCAGAAACAAAAGTAGGTTTGTTTCCATCTTGGTTAGGTTCTGAATGAACTTTAAACAATGTTTCATTTCTATATGTTTTGTTGAAATTTAACCTTTTATTTTCACCGAGTTCATCCAAAGATTGAACGTTAAATGCTCGTAAGTAAAAAGGGTTGTTGTATTTGTGTACATTTTCTTTCAGTACTTCCATTCTATGCTGAATATTTTCATCTGGTGTTGGAGTCTTTTGTATGTCGGCAAACATTTTTCGATATTCTTCTACTATGTCAGCCGAATTTTTTTTAGACTCTTGGAAATATTCCATATTCTCCGCATACTCTTGTTGAGGGTCAAGATTTTTCGGCTGTTCCAAATCTTCATCTAGTTCTGTGAAGTTAGTTTCCAAAGGAAGGACTTGTTCGTTTCCTTCAGGCTCTTCTAGCTGTTGTTGCTGAACTATTTCTTCCATGTCTGGTTGTATCTGAACTTCTTCCTGTGGAGTTTCTTGTACCTCATCTGCTGGCATTTCATATATTCCGAGACCGTTTTCAACAAGTTCCCTTTCTAAGTCATCCGGACTCATAAACCTTTCTTCTTTCGTTCCGTCTCTATTTTTTACGCGTTTCATGAAGAGAGTTAAATTGTCATTTAGCTCTGACATCAAATATCTCGGAGTAAATTCGTTCATGTCATTTGGATGATATGCTATTAAATCATATCCCTTAGCGAGCTTGTATTTTCCAGGTTTGAGATTATATCCCCTTTGGTGCAGAGCCATAAAGCTAAATAGGTTCGGGTCAGTATTTCCATCCTTGAAC